AGAAAAGTCAAAGATATATTGAAAGGAACTCAATTTCTATCATCCTCCCAGATGTGAGTGACATTTGATCATTCCCTCTGGCCTGGGGCACCTATGCTGTGCCCCAGACTTCTAGCTGTGCCCAATGCTCTGCAGAGCTAACCCAAAGCAGGTGCTCAAAGAGGGGCTGTTGTCGTCAGATTAACTATTGCTAAGATTTTGTTTGGTTGCATTTTTAGCAGGGCATTCTTAAGAATTGAGAGAATTGTGTAGAATGACATTAATTCAGCAAGTAGAAATTGAGATTTACTATGTACAAAATCTTTTTATAGTAAACAGATTTACTATGGCAGGGTTAAAGATGAACAGGACACAGGCCCTCCCCTCTGAGAGCTCGCAGTCTATGGCGGTAAAGAGGAACCTTTTTGTGTGCCCTACATGACCTACTATGTGCCAGACACTGTGCTGAGCTCATTACCTACCTCATTACATGGGCCAACTCCTTGCATCTTCATCACAACTCCATGGGGGAGGACGAGGCACCTGAGCCTCAGGGAGGCTGCATATCTCGCCACAGCCATATAGTAGGTGGGTGGCAAAGCAAGGATTTGCACTCAGGTCTGTTTGCCCCCATCAAATGTACGCACTTAGCTATCACACACTTCAGAGAGAGAATGGGCCAGTTGAGAGACTCAGACAAAATTCTGAGGATTGTGGAGCCCCTGCCTGCGGGGACTTCAAAGAAGGTTTATCAAAGAGGGTGCCGTTGAGCTGAGATCTGAATTGTATCTCCCCCTTTTACTAGTTGTGTTGACTACGGACAAGCTATCCAACCCAAGCCTTGGTTGTCTCATCTATAAAATGGATGAAAGAGTGATATTTTTACCTCATGTGGTTGTTGTAGGCATTTCATCAGAAATGGGTGTAAAGTGTTTAATATTATCCCTGGCACATAGCAAGGGCTCTGAAAATGTGAACAATGATGATGATGACAATTGGTGACCATACTCTTTAATCCTGAGGAATCTTGATAAAAAAGAGGCCTATCTTCCCAGCACCCTTCTGGCCTCTAATCAGTCTATACTTAGGCCCTAAACCCATGAACCAGTGATACTCTCTGGGCCCAAGGAGAAGAGGCCTCTGAAGTCAGAGAAGGATTGGCGTCCCACACAGTGGCAGAGCAGGGAATTCCATGACAACAAGATGATGATTCTCTCCTTATGGTGAGCAACGGAGCCATGCAGTTCCCAGAATCAGAATGAGTTAAAGGATGGGACAGATGCTTTCAATTACACCTCTCATTGAACCCTCAGAATACCTCTGTGTGGTGGTATTATGATTTCTGTCTCACTGATGAAGAAACGAGGAGGTAACTAGCCCAAGGTTATATAGCTAGGAAGTGGCTGGTGGGATTCCAATTCGAGGCTACCCTCTCTCCTCCAGTCCAGTCTATCTAGATTGGGCTGGGCTAATGGGGCAAGGGTGGGCTCAGGAGTCCCTCAGATGTACTGTCCTAATGGCTCTCTGGGGTCTGTCCCCTCCTCTCTCACCCACTGCCCCAGTCTGGTCCATGGTAGGAGTCCCCATCTTCTTCCTCCTATCCGGGTTCACACCTCACTCGGGCCAAGAAACACAACTGCCCATGTACTTCTTTGGTATAAAACTCTTCCATTACCTACAGGTCTGCTTCTCACACTGGCCAGCGTCCTCAGCAGAGGAGGTGGCCATAAAATTATAACAAAAATATGTCTAGAGTGGAATGCAAAATGTCCAAAATTTCTCTCAGAGAAGAAGTTGTTTTGGGCTAAGCCTCAAAACAGGTGTGTATATGTTGTGGGGATAGGGGAGTATCATTCTTCATAGAAAAAGTCTCACCAGCCTCAAAGACGAAGAAAACTTGCAGCCTAGTCCATTAGGCCCTGCCCCACTGGCACCCACTGCCTTTCCTCTGGTGCCTCCATGACACCTGGGTATGCTTGTGCTCCAGAACTCTCTTTTTCCTTACAGCCAGTTGTGACTTACTGACCCCCCGACTGGAATGTCTTTCTATCCTGCCTGTCAGCCTGGGAAGCTCCTAGTTATCCTTTAAGATCCAATTCCATTTCCCATCTTCCAAGAAGCCCCCTTGATCCCACCAGCCCCATCCTTGCAGTGCTTGTCCCTCCGCATTTTGCTTTTCCCTCCTTCTTCACAGCTTCTTACCTCAGGCTGCTGAGAGCCAGCCTCTCCAGGAAGTTATGAGCAACGTGACGTCAGGGAGTTCACCTTTAACCTCTGCCTTCACTTGTTTCATTCAATACACACTCAGAGCCCCTGTCTGTGCCAGACCATGGGCTCCTGATGCAGAAATGACTCTCTGTCCTCAGAGAAGCTCTGAACTCAGGGAGAAACAAAACATCCATTCATTGATTGATTGATATAGTAAAACAAACAAAAAGCAAAACTCTTTGCTAATCTCCATCTGGGCCAAGCTGTGTGCTCAAGGTATAGAAAAGAGCAAAACCTATACTTGCCCCAGGGGCCCTAGCCAGGGGCCAATAGAAGCCCTAAGGGTGAGGTGTGTCCCCAGGGCTGCAGGGCAACAAGGCAAGTATGCTGTCCTTTTGTGTTAAATGACAATAAATGAATAAATGAAAGAATAAATACTTTGTTCTGTAGGGTTTTTTCCTTCCTGTTTTAGGGAATTTGTGAGTTATTAACCATGAATGAGCTCTGTAAATCAAGACACCCAATAAATGAAAAATTGATTGATGACATGTCACATAGGGAGTTGCTAGCAGCAATAAGGCTAGATTCTGGGTCTCCGCCACCCTGTACTTTCTCAGTGGGGACCAAATCTACTCTGACCATGGCTGGCTTGAGCAGGCTCTGCAGCTGCAGGCTACAGAGCCTCCTGCAAACACGAAGTAAAATGCAGCAGTTCTCAGCCTGCCTCCCAAGGGGGTCGTGAGCATTAATTAGTTACCATTGGTAAAGTGTTCTGAAGATGTGGGGTGTATAAACATAGCAAGTCATTAGGCCTCTCCACACCACTATGCTCTACAGCCTGGGAACTGCTAATTGAGAAATAATTAACACCTCAGGGTGCAGAGGACGGATGCTGGCTTTTCCAGGATTGGAAGGGATGTAATAATGTGAACGGGGAGCAGGGAGAGCTAAGGCTACTTTGGATCCCAAAATACACCAAAGATTATTCACCTCCTACCCCTAAGCAGGAAGCATGGGGAATATTGCCTCAGTAAAACATTTGGGACTGCACTCCTTGGAGAAAGCCCCCACCACAGTGCTAGGCTGCATAGGCTGAGCCACATTCTTAGAGCAAAAGCACTCAGGTCCAGTCCAGCTCTGCCTGACCTAGCTGGTTGAGCAGATAGCAACTGCATGGTCCACCCAAATTGTATTTTCCTCAACTGTAAGGTCAGGATGATAACATGCATCCACCATCTATCCCATCCCTCCACTATGTTGTCTGGCAGCTTCCCTCAAGGCCAGAAAATCCAGCTCAGGCCGCTGGGGGACTATAGAAGACTGATGCCCAGGCTTACCCAGATCGATAATGGCATCTCAGGGCTGGGGGCTAGGGGTTACATGGTAATTCCAGTTCAGCCAAGGTTGAGAACCAGTGCTTTGACCTGTGTGTCAAGCACTGGAGTGGTGGGAAAAGAAGATGCAAATCATAAGCTATATAAATGTCTAACCAGTGTACTATATATACTTAAAACTAATAATGAAATAAAATAAAATGCTTAAAAAGCACACCATGCTTCCCTCATACCAGTTCATCATTTCCTGATTCCATGCTTGTGATTGTCCTTGTCTCTCTGCCTGGACATTCTACTCCATTCCCATTGCCATTCTTGATCTGGTAAACCCCACTCATCCTTCAGGCTCAGTTCCAAGTTCACCTCAGCGAAGCCCTCCTTCTCAGCACTCCTACAGGTTTCTCAGCCCCCATTACACCACTGATCATACCTTGTTGATCCTGGCAGATCCTGAGCAGGCTGAGAGATTCTTAAGGTCACTATTAGAATCACCAGTGTATTGCATGGGATCTGCTACACTTTAAATATTCAATAAACTATAACTGTTATTACTTAGGTAGAGTTATATGATATGCAGCTCTCACCTCAGCACATTTGCACTTGTTGTTTTCATTGTCTGTAACATTCTTCCCCCAGATATTTGCAAAGCTCTCTCATCTCTTCAGGTCTTTGCTAAAATGTCTCAGTGAGGCTTTCTTGATCATCTTATTTTAAATTGCAACCTCCTGACCTCCAACTTTCCCCAATTAATTTTTCTCTATAGTAAAAAAGCATCTGATGAATCCTGTCTTTATATAAATTTTTGATAATTTTTTACCATGATTTTGCATTAATTTTCTAAATTAATTACATTAAAATACCACTTCTCTTGGTTACCGAGTTCTGTGACCTCCCCTTAAGTTTCACTGTATTGGTTTATTGACAGAATGTGAGCTATATTAAATACAGGGAATTATGTTTGTGTTTTGTCCACTATTCCCAATTTCTACAACAGTAGCTAGTACATGGTTACTGCTCAAAAAATAATGTGAATGAAAGTTTGATTTAATGTCTTAAAGGCTGTCTTGGGCTTTATAATAAAGGTGCCTTTTTCTAATTGTTTAAATTTTTTAATTTATTTAAATTGTAAGCCTGTAAAATAATAGGGTAGATTCGCAACTGCATTGCCCACTGTTGTCATGGTTACACTACTGCCAGCCTTTCTCCTAGTCTGAGAGTGAGGCGGCCCCAGACAGTAGGAGGGAACGCCACACTCAAAACCCGGAAAATAGGCTTTGATGATAGAGTTACACCTCCCTAAATCCTAGAGCGCACTTCCGGAATGGTGCTTTACTTATTGGCGCCCAGGCCAATCTTTGATCTTGAGGAGGGCCGAGTTCTCCCTCCTCAGCAAAGCTTCCGGAACACCTTTCACTTGCGTCTGCTGTGAGGTGGGCGAGTCCTCTTGAGCGCGGCTTTGTGATTGGCTAGAAGGACAGGAGGCGGAGCTTTGGCGGGCACGCCCCGGGCGCAGGCGCGTTCGCCCGGCACGGCGGTCCCGTGGGCTGTGTCGGCTGGGTCTGCAATTGGTGAGCGTGGGTGTCAGGAAGGGGTGAGAGACTGGTGGTGGGTGGTGGAGTGAATAGTGGTCTCTGAGCGCAGAGACCTAGGATCTTGCTGTCCGCTTTCCCACGTGCACGCCGTCCTTGGGTTGGGGTCACAGTCATATAAACTTTGGGGTAATACTCATCTCTTAGTCTCATTTTCCTCCATGGAAAACTGAAAGCAGGACTTCCTTGTCTCTCCAAGGTGGTTGTGGCACAGTGTTCCTAGAAGTGCCAGCCCTGGAAAGACCCTCAGAGTTCACCTGGTGGCTGAGCCAACCTTCCCATTTTACATATGGAAAAATTGAGGTCCGGAAAATGTCATGAGACCCGGTCACCCAGCCAGTGAAGGCCGAACCAGTTCTTAGAACTAGGTCTGGGCCTTCATTGTTTTCTGTTTGTTTTTCTTTCCCAGCATGGTTCGTGATGGAGACTTTGGGGGAATTGAAAATCGAAGGCAGGGACTTAGCCTCCAGGTGTGGCCCTGTGCTCTTCTGCCCTGTCTCTTGATACAGTGACTTCACATCTCAGAGCCTCCTTCTTCTGTGAGTTAGGCATAATGATAATAACAAACACTGTATACCAAGCACTGTTATAAGCACTTTATGCATAGCTTTCCTGCTTGGATTGCAGGGCCATTGTGAGTCAACCTTTAAAAAGGTCTGTGCTAGAAGGACAGAGTAGATGCTCTATAAAAATTTACTAAATGATTGAATGACTCAGAGGCTCTTTGCCAGACTCGAGGTGCTGGACACATTTTTTACTATATTGCTTTCAAGGCATTATCTGAGAAAATTGAAATAATTATTCTGTTGGTTTAAGCTGAGGAATCTAAGGATGAACACACATTTAGGGCTCGGGACAGAGGGCTTAAGGCTCTTGTTTAAATTATCCAGGTAATTTCTCATTGCACCCCTTCACTTTGTTCTTCATATACTAATATAGTTGGTCAACAAACAATAATAGCCTAAATATTAGGCATTGTCCTAGGCCCTGAAATATAAAAATGCAAAAAAAAAAACAACAAAAAACAACTTATGAACTCATAGTTTAATAGGGAAATAGGACATGAAACATTCATTCCCAATGCCTGGCACACACCAGTTTCTCCAAACCATGTTTGAGAATTATTCCAGTGCAGAATACTATAAAGAAGTGTTTTCAGTGGGAACACAGAGAAGAAAGTGACTCTCTGTTTGGAAGGGTTGGTGAAGGCTTCTTGCAATAAGTGAACTTTGAGTGATGAATTGGAGGTACTGGGGGGGATGTTTGCCTGTTCTTAGAACAATGAGCAATTTGGGGATGTGTTAGGGGAGGGGTAGGATAAGCTGGAAGAGGTGTGTTGAGATAAAAATATGAGGAGGCTTTGGTACAATTCTGAGAAAATTATTGGGGAACCATTAATGGATTATAAACAAGAGAGAGATTGAATCAACTGTAATATGGACACTAGACAGACAGGGTCAAGAATCGTTCAGTTCATTCATTAATAAACCTTTATTGAATGTCTGCTGTGTCCAGGCACCATGCTGGATCCTGCATGTACAACTTGGAATAAAATATACGTGGTTTTTGCCCACATGTAATTTACAATCTAAATCAGAGTGGGTAAACAGGCTTCTGCAGTGGTGCTCCCAGTGCTGTCCCTGGATTAGCAGCATCAGCATCACCTGGGAACTTGTTAGAAATGCAGGTTCTCTGTCTTTACCCCAGACCTACTGAATCAAACTGGAGGTGAGGCCCTACAATCAGTGTTTTCACAAGCTCTCCAGGTGATTCTGATGCTCACTTAAGTTTCAGAACCAGTGGTATACTGTAATGTAGCAAGCGGTACTGAGGGCCTAACCCATCGTTGCGGCAGTAAGGGACAGAAAGAAGGGGGTGGACTTAAGAGAAATCTTGAAGAAAGATTCGTTTGCTTTAGGAAGAGCCAGAGGTGAAGGCACTTCTGGCTTGGGCCACTGGCCTGAGGTGGGACCTCAAGTGATGGGGGCAGGTGTGAACCACATGAGCCATGCCTCCAGGGCCCACACTTTTCCATGCAGTCAGACTAGGACTCTGACGCAGTGCCTCCCAACCTTTTTCAGGTCCTAGGCCACATAGGAAATGATAATATTTGTACATTGCATGGAGAAATGGATGAAGCTGCCTGAGGTTCCAGAGGACCAGCTGGAGGACTTGAGGCTGAAAGCTAGAGCTGACCACCTGGGGCTTCCAGCTTCCCAGAGCTGAGAGGGATCAGTAACCCATTCTCAGCACAGTGCAGGGGAACTTTGCTCCATGGGATGTGCTGAAAATCAGAGGTGCTCACCAAATTTGACAGTATAAATCAAGAACCTTGAAAATTTATACCCTTTGACTCAGTAATTCCATTCCTGAAAATCCTCTCCCAAATAGATAACAAAATAAAGACTTCTGTTCTTTGTAATTTATGTATAAGGAGAAAACTGAAAACTCTCTGGTAGTAAGAGAATCATTCTTGATATAGTCAGTCAATGAATTGTTGTACTGCCATTAGAAATGTGTGAATATTTGGTAAAATCATAGAGAAACCTGCGTACTCATTCATCAGACAGTGTCTAGTCAGCCCCTGCTGTGTGCTGAGTGGAGAGCAAGTTAGAGGTGGTCCCTGCCTGCACAGAGCAAAGTGCCTGAAAGACAAGCAGCCCAACGTGCAGTAACTCCAAAGGGAGATTGGTATTTGATAGGGGGCAAATGGGCTGCTGCAGGAGAAGCTGGTCTTTGCCGTATGAGGAGTGGGACAAGGAAGGCATCCTAGAGGACAGGATGGTAATCCTGAGGCCTGAAGGATGGGTAGATGTTGGTGTGCAAAGGGGCAGTGTATTTAAAAGTGAGCATGGTGCAACTGGGACACGGAGAGGGCGATGGTGAGAAGAGGCCCAAGGGGACCAGTAGCCAGCTCATGTGGGGCCATGGGCACTGCGAAGGTCAGAAGCTTAGACCCGATTCTAAGGGTACCAGGAAGCCACTGGAGGATTTTAAGCAAGAAAAACTGTTACCGTATGTGTTTTGGAAGTGTCCCCTGTGGCGCGTGATGAGATGATAGTGGCCTGGACCTGGGTGGATGCTGTGGAGGTGGAGAGAAGGACAAATTGAATAGCATGTGAAGAGTAGGGATGACAGGGCCAAGAGAGTTGGTGTATGTGGGGCATGGGGGAAAGGTAGGTGAACCCAGTCTTTTGGTTTACACAAAGGGTGGCTTATGGTGCCATTCAGATAGGAGGTGGGTTTGGGGGGAAGGCGCTGAGTTTCTTAGGGTGCTGAGTTTGAAGTGCATTGTGTTCTCCAGGAGTCAGCACAAGGCCTGACCCGGGAGTGTGTGAGAGAGAAGGGAAGAAGCACACAACATTTGACATTTAAGGGGGGTGGGCAAAGGGCAGGGTTGGCAAAAGAAAGAGGGAATCATCAGCAGTAGTTGTCTCTGGGCTGAGGGGTTATAGTTGCTTTCGTTTTCTTTTTTATTTCTGTTTTTTCCCAGTTTTCTATAATAACAATAGCAAGCGTCGATTGAGCTCATAGAATGTGCCAGATACTGTTCTAGTAACCTTTTATAACTCTTCTAAGTTCCTACAATAAACCGAGAAGGTAGGTCCTATTGCATTGCCATTTTACAGATGAAGAAACTGAGCACAGAGGGTTTAAGTCACATGTCCCAAGCTGTCAGTGGGAAGCCTGCCTGGATACCGGGCTGTTTGGTTCCAGAGCCTGTGCAGTCGCCACCCATTCCTATCTCTCCACAGTATGCTATTATATCTTTTGTAAATGAAAAAATATTGATTTTTTTTTTTTACATGACAACAAGAGGTAAGAGAAGTAGTACTTGGATCTGCTAGGAAATTGGAAATGAAAGGGTTTGCATCTGCAGAATCAGTGGTTATCTTAGAAGTTTATTGGAGACCAGACTGAGCTGGCTACTTCATGCTGTCAGAACGTAGTTAATGCTTATTTGTGCACAACTCATTTTTCTCCAGGCACAGGTGCTTCCCTATGCTGGGGTGGCATGGAAAGGCTGCTAGCAAGATTCAGAGCATTGGCCACCTGCAGCCACCAGCTTTCCGGGTACATCCCTTGCAGGTTTCACCACTGTGCCCCAGGGAGAGGGAAGCGCTTGATGTTGTCCCGAGTGTTCCAGCCCCAGAACCTTCGGGAAGACCAGGTCCTCTCCCTGGAGGGCAAGTCTGGTGACCTGACCTGTAAGAGCCAGAGGCTGATGCTACAGGTGGGCCTGATCCACCCCGCAAGCTCCGGGTGTTACCACCTCCTGCCTTATACTGTTCGTGCTATGGAGAAGCTGGTGCGAGTGATAGACCAGGAGATGCAGGCCATTGGGGGACAGAAGGTCAACATGCCCAGTCTCAGCCCTGCAGAGCTCTGGCGAGCCACCAACCGGTGGGACTTGATGGGCAAGGAGCTGCTAAAACTTAGAGACAGACACGGCAAGGAATACTGCTTAGGACCAACTCACGAGGAAGCCATTACAGCCCTGGTCGCGTCCCAGAAGACACTGTCCTACAAGCAGCTTCCGTTCCTGTTGTACCAGGTGACAAGAAAGTTTCGGGATGAGCCCAGGCCCCGCTTTGGTCTTCTCCGTGGCCGAGAGTTTTACATGAAGGACATGTATACCTTTGACTCCTCCCCAGAGGCCGCCCGGCAGACCTACAGCCTCGTGTGTGATGCCTACAACAGCCTTTTTGACAGACTGGGGCTGCAATGTGTCAAGGTCCAGGCAGACGTGGGTAGCATCGGGGGCATGATGTCTCATGAGTTCCAGCTACCAATGGATGTTGGAGAAGACCAGTTTGCAGTCTGTCCCAGCTGCAGCTTCTCAGCCAACATGGAGACACTAGACTTGTCACAAAGGAACTGCCCTGCTTGCCAGGGACCACTGACTAAAACCAAAGGCATTGAAGTGGGGCACACATTTTACCTGGGCACCAAGTACTCCTCCATTTTCAATGCCCAGTTTATCAACGTCCATGGCAAACCATCCTTGGCTGAAATGGGGTGCTATGGCTTGGGCGTGACACGGATCTTGGCTGCTGCCATCGAGGTTCTCTCTACAGAAGACTGCATCCGCTGGCCTGGACTTCTGGCCCCTTACCAAGTCTGCCTCATCCCACCGAAGAAGGGCAGTAAGGAGGCGGTAGCCGCAGAGCTCACGGGGCACCTGTACGACCACATCACAGAGGCGGTGCCGCCGCTTCGCGGGGAGGTCCTGTTAGACGACAGGACCCATCTGACAATTGGAAACAGACTGAAAGACGCCAACAAGTTTGGCTACCCCTTTGTGATCATCACTGGCAAGAGGGCCCTGGAGGACCCTGCGCATTTTGAGGTGTGGTGCCAGAACACTGGCGAGGTGGTCTTTCTCACCAAGGAAGGAGTCATAGAATTACTGAGCCAAGTGCAGGTTGTCTAAGCGCCCCCAGCCCACCCCACCCCCTCTTGCAGCCTTGGAGTTCACTCTAACACTGCCTTTGCCTTCACTCCTTTCTGGGGCTGGTCTCCCCAGAACCAGGGCAGTTCATGGAAGGTAAGAATATGTTAGGGAAACCAATTTTTATCTAGTCATTTGTTCAGAGGACTTGTATTTAAAGTTGTTAACTTGGTCCCTTTCTCTGGATTGGCCACGCTGCCACATACAGTCCCTTTTTTATTCCGATGTAGAAGCTTCATTAGGAGGCAGAGAGGCAAGAAAGGGCAGAGTTCTCATGTTGGCCCTCAGCAAGTCACTGCCCTTCTGGAAGCTGAGTTTCCCATGTGAAGGATGAGAATGGCCGATGGCCAGGGCCCTCCGGTTTTGATGGTCTGATTACGGGCCAGTTGCTGCATACCAGGCCCACCAGCCCTCCTCCACTTAGACTCATCCTCTCCCCTGCTGAGGCCTGTTTCTCCATCTGTGACATGAGGAAATGGAACCAGATCTGTAAATTCCTTAACAACTGTTTGTCACTGGCTGGTTCCATGAGAGGCGCATGACAGATCTGGTTCCTCTGATCCTCCTTAGTCTAAGCTACACAGAAAGTTGATTTAATCAGCTGATGACCCCCCCCCCCCGCCCCCCAAAAGCACCTCCAGAGACCAGGCTCTACTTAGGCCGCTCCACGCTGAGATCATGTTGGATTGATTGAATAAAGTCAAACTATTGGGATGGGCCTTGCATGTTCATTTGAAACAGTGGTGACACCTGCCATCATAGTGTAGTGGCTTCCTGTCTTGAGACTCTTCTTTTGCTATCATTTCTATACTCCTCTCAAAGAAAAAAAATAGGTGGCTGAGAAAGTGTTTTAAACCATTTCTCCCCACAGATACCAGGATAGCAGGCTTCGAGTGCCACAGTGACTGTGTCCTGAGTTGGATCCTAGAGCCACAACCGGGTGAATATTAAGTTCTCTGCCTGCATTATGTGGCAAATTAGGAGCAGACTTGAGCCACTACTGCAGTGCTACCTGCTTTCATTGCTCGTGCTCCCTAGATTAGGGCCTTGGACATGCCCAAATCTAACAAGGATATGTCAAGGGCAAGCTCAAGGCCACCACCTCCTGAAAATATGCCTGACAGCTCCTGGAAGTGGTTTTTCCCCAGCACTCTCCCGGTCAGCCTTGAGGGTGTTCCTTCTTGTTCGGGGCAGCTCCTTGTTTGGTGGCCAGCCTCTTTAGTTGATGGTCAGCACCCTGTGGCCAGGGTCCTAGGCTGATTCCTAGTCTACTGCAGTTCTGTCTTGGCCAATTGTTCCAGTTGCTACGCAGCTTCCCAGCAGCTTATTACTGCTACTGCTGTTACAGCTTGAGTAACTCCACCCCAAGCACACACCATCAGGTACCCTAATTAATGCATATACCAAGCCATAATGACTCCCAGGCTTACCACTGGAGCTTGGGGGCCCAGCATTCAGGCCAGGAGATGCAGCTTCTGAGAGAAGACCTAGAAAGGCTGGACTGTAAGGCAGGGGAGTTTACCCGTGGCTGCACGTTGGAATCACCTGGTTCCCACCCACAGGTTCTGGTTATGGACAGGGGTGTGGCTGCGTATCAGGAATTTTAAAGTTCCTCAGATGATTCTAACGTGCAAAGTCTATTGAGAGCTCCTAGTGTGTGGGTAGCTGCCTTCTCTGAGCCCACCTTGTAGTTGAGCGTTTCTTTGAGTGAGTAATTTTTGTTGTATATTATCAGACTGATGTGAGCTCTCAGCTTTTAATGGTCTGATCATTTATTTGTTGGGGGCCTGCCACATGCCACTGTGTTGTGATGCCCTTTTTTACACCCTTTCAGACCTTGAAATTGTACAGGAGGTGCTGTTACTCTCATTTTACCAATGAGCAACTTAAGGATGCACAGCTCTTAAGTATCAGAGCTAGAATCCAAGTATTGGCCAAAACCTGCCCTCCCCACTACAATGCATGGCCTCTTACTATGCGAGTGATTTCAGTAAGTAAAACTGAATTATTTATGTCTATCTAATTAAGTTAGCCTTAACTAATGAGAAATTAGAATTCGTGCATATGGGTGCATATACTTTTTTTTTTTTTAAGTTTGTGCTCTATAATCTTATTTTTGGAACGTTAGCCAAATGTAAGAACTTTTAAAAACCACCCAATTAATTTTAAACTCTTCACAGATGTGCAAGTTATAGAATGATTTGGGGATGATGCAGAATCATGGAACTTTAGAATGGGAGGAGAACTTGGAGCCTGCCTGTGCAGCCCTCACTTCACAGATGGGAAACAGGCCTGGAGTGGGAATTAACCTGCCATGTACCATCTGACTGACAAAAGGCCTGATTGCAGGCCAGGTGCTACATCCCCTAAATTAGGCTGCTTCCTGTCGATCTTGTATTGAGAGGTCAGGCTAAATCAGTCTTTGAACTACAGAAGCCTCTACATATGAAACAGGTACCCATCCTCTATTTTCCAAGAGAAACAAATACAGAGTACAAGAAATCTAGGTGTTCTGATTGCCAAGCCAGTGTTTGTTCTAGTAGCCAAGATCAGTGTAATTTGGTGGAAAGATCAGAACCTTAAAGAGACCTAATCCTAGATCCACCTCTTACCAGGGATGTCTCCTTAGATAAATTACCTGACCTTTGTGCATTTCACATTCTTTATCTGTAAGATGCACTCATGATAATGGTACTTACCTCCCAGGGTTGTCTGGACGTTGGCTGAGCTTATATGTTATGCTTAACTCTTGCTATGCTCTCAGGGAACACTTCCTTAATACTAGGTGACTTAGAAAATGCCCATTGGGAGCTCAGGTTCTCCTGTTAATTTTATCTTCCTTAGATGCTTTACAACCTTCCTGGGAAATGCCACCAGCAAGAACTAAATAATGCCTGCAGAATGGTTCCATCTCCTTAGAGGCAAGATGGACATACTCAAAATAAACTTTCCCCTTCCTAAACTTGCCAGTGCTACTTCTTGCCATGAACTGATGAAATGGAGATGCTGGCGAAATAACAGGTACGGGCTTTATTATCATTGCTCCTTAGGGAGATCTAGAAGCAACTGGCTAGAAAATCAAGCTTAGGATGTAAATCAAGGGCTCCATTAATATTCTGTATTTTAATGGGAGAAACACCTGCTGGGCTATCCATAAAAGAAATCTGTTGAAACTGTCATTTCCTAACTACTTGAATGCCAGGCCTCTTCACAGAGTTCCCACCAAGGTGCCAGAATGCTTTTTAGAATGGATTGTTACACATCCAAGGGCATGTAAAGCTTTGTTTTAGTTAGAATAAGTTTTTATAAATGTGGGTAGTTTTCTATAATATGAAAAATGGGAAAATATTTTTATGATGTTATTGCAAACTCAGGGAATTTGCAATAGGGCCTGATCGAAGACTAGGTGCTAAAGGGAGAAACAGTTGGGCATGGAGGAAGGAGAGCAAGATACTTCACTTAATTTAAAATAATGGCTTACATCATAGTGACTCAGACTAGAGGCTTGAGTCAGACTGCCTGGGCCACTTGATAGCCATATGACTTTGTGCAAGTTTGACCTTCCTCATACTCCCTACACTTCATTGGTAAAATGGGGACTACAGTGCCTGGCTCACAGCAGGTGCTTGGCAGCTGCCCTTATATTAAGCCAGTTAGCCTTTTGTACACAGTAGGTGAGTGGGTGGTACATGTGGGCCAGCAGAAGGAGGTGGCACCTTGAGGCTCTCCACATTCAGGCACCACCTTGGTGCAGGTATGGTGTCTACTCCTGTTAAACCAGCAGATCTAAAGACTGCCAGTGAGCTTCCATGGTGAAAGCTTAATTGCTCTTAGCTAATTAAAACTGTAGAGCCAGGAGAGTGAAGAGGAGGCACTTACCAGTTAATGCTAAATGAGGATGCCCCATTTGCAAGGGTAGAACTTACTGCCCAGGCTCACCCAGAAAGCTCGTGGGCTGACCCAGGAGACTCATTGGTGGGGTGTCGGGTGCTGTGGAGATTTGGCTGTGGGCTCTGGCAGGGGTTTCTGCAGACTGGATTCTTCTACTCAGGATGGGGACGTTGCATGACAGTGAATGCCAAGACTTTACCATAATCTTGGAGTGAGCAGGCAAGGGCTGCTTGGGCTATTGCCAACTTCTCAAAGGCAAGGACCCAGTCTTGTCACTATTAATATCTCCTAAAGGGTTTAGAGGAGTCCTGAATTCAAGTCCTGACTCTACTTTTACCAGCTAGTTGACTTTGGGCAAGTTACCCACCCCATTGGTGCCACTTTTATTATTAAAATGGTGCCATAAAACTATTTGCCTCCTAGAGGTGTTGAGAGGATTGAGTGTGCCAGTCTGCATAAATCACCTAGAATGCTGTCTAACGTATCTTAAGTGCTCCATAGATGACAGCTGTTACTATTGAGCCAGGCTAGCATATGCACTAACTCTGGAATGTGCCTTTCCAAGGCTCTTTGCCTTTGCTTGAAGGCCCACCCACTTACCCCACCCCACCAATTTCTTCAGCTTCATGGCCCACATTCGTCATGTATGGTGGCTTCCACCCCTCATCTGTTCAGAATTCATCACTCCTTCCTCTGTGTCATCAGTCAGTAGTTATTTGTTGTGCACCTACTATGTGTTGAGCAGGTGCTCTGCTAGGTCTTGGCAGTACAAAAGTGTACAGTTCAGGGTCCCTGACTCAGTTTACAGAGAAGTGGGAAGAACCATCCAGTAAACAATTACAATGCAGTGTGGTAAGTGTAGGGATGGTGCAGGGGCTATGGGACAAGTGGGATAAGGGGCCAGGAGGGCTTCCTGAAGGAGGCAGCTGGGCCTGATTGAAGACTAGGTGTTAAAGGGAGAAACAGTTGGGCATAGAGGAAGGAGAGCAAGTGGAAATAATGTTCCAGGCAGAGGGAACAATATGCAAACGCCCAAAGTTAAGAGATGGCAAGATTGGAGAATTAAAAAACGTGTCATCGATTGAACACTTAAGGCAAGCTCTGTTACATGTGCTTCACATAATTAACTCATTTCATCCTCACAGCATCTGCATGAGGTAGGTGATACTATCCTGTTTATATTGTAGATGAAGAAACTGAGGTACAGTGCTTAAGCAAATTGTCTGGAGGCCATATAGCTAGTGAGTCGTGGGGCTGGAATTAGAGGGCAGGCAGCCTGCCTCGAGCTAATACTCTAAGCCACTGCACCCTCCTGACCCATAGCTGAAATGTGTCCAGGATGACTGGGCTAAGGAGGCCAGAGAAAGAAAGCTGCAGAGGTAGTAAGGGGCCAGATCCTGAAGGGCCCTGGATACCATACTATATTGATGAGGGGGAGCTACAGGGGGCTCAGAGCAGAGGCATGGACAGACTTGCTTTTGTGGCTTTATTTCTCTTCACTGGAGCAGTTTCCAGCCCAGAGTTAGATTTATGACATCCACTCAACAGCATGACCTTGAAGGCAGAGGGTGCCTGATGCACTTCAGCCTTGATGCCCTACCCTTGGTTGGTGCTTGTTAAATATTTATAACCAAACAGAATAAAAGGAACACAATAAAGGAGGCAGATGGGCTCTGGAGTGAGATGCTTGGGTTCATATCATGGCTCTGACAATCAGCCATGGCAAGGCTGCATGTCCTCATTTTCTTATTTATAAAGTTGCAATCCTAGACCCGAGACCGGGGCTGTTAAAATGAGAATTCAGGTTTGCACAGTGCTGGAACTCCATATTGACAGCCGCCATAATGTCTCTTGGTTCCCTTCCTGCCCTTGTGTACCTAACCAGCAAGTAGTGTGTTTCGGGGTAGCTTAAGGGGACTTTGTCCCCCAACCCAAATCTCCAGCTGCCATCCTAAATCCAGAGAGAAGGGCTGCACTCCTGTCCTGTAAGAAGGAGGGGCCCCCAAGTGGTAGGAAAGGCTCTGTAAGTCAGGGATGCTGAGAATGCTGGCGCCTTGCCCTTCTTCTCTCGGCCTCAGTTTCCTCATCTGTAAAATCAGTCGGGGGAGGGTTGAGGCCCTGCAGGAGCTCTGACTCTGGCTCTGCTGGAGTCTCAGCCATGGGCAGGTGGCTGGGGAAGCACTGGGCAATGGCCAGGCCCACATGCTCCCCTTGGAATCATCTGCCTCTTGGGCTGCCTGTCCCACCGGCTCTGCCCCTGAATAAGGGGCACCCCCCAGGGCTTTTTTCCCACACTTCTCCGCCCTGCTCAGCGAGGCTTCTACTGGCCAGAGAACTGGAAGGAGAGGTCCCAGGGTGGGCAGTGCACAGAGACCCCTCTTCTCTGGCCCAGCAGAGTTGTAGTCCTAACCTCCTCAGGCCCACTCCTAAGTCCATGCTCCTTCCACTCTCTTGCACCCAGAGAAGATGGCAGAGGTCAGAGGAGGCAAAGCCTGTGGGCTTGTGAGGCCAGGTGCCTTCCTGGAGGAGGTATAAGACAGCCATGTTGGGCTCAACCCTGGGAATGCCATTGTTGATGCTTGTGTGTGTAAGTGGAGCCTTGGAACAGGACTGTTTTCATTCCTTAGTTCTTTCATCTGTTCATCCATCCATCCATTCATCAGCACACTCACAGTCACTGAACTCCCACTGTGTGTTAGGCCTGGGCACTCAAAACAAAGCCTCATTTGGCCCCTACTCTGAGAGCTCGCCTTCTGGAAGGTTTAGTGCAGCATTTCTCAAATTCAGTATTAATTTGGCCCAGATAATTCTTTGGGAACCCATCATATGCAGGGTAAGATGTTAGGTAGCATCCCTGGCTTCAACTCACTAGATGTCAGCAGCATCCCACCAAGTTGTAATAACCAAAAATGACATTGACAAGTCCCCTGGGGTGCAAGTCCCCTGGTTGAGAACCACTGGTCTAGTGCCACTACTGGTTTGCATAGATGTACACCTGTTTACTTAAGAGCTAGTTACTGAATAATGTGCCAGGCACTTTGCATACAATATTTGCACATAAGTGCCATGGACATGCCTATGAGGTAGGTGGTATAGTGAATCATTTTACAGATGAACTAGGCTCTTATCACAGTCCCTTATAGTCACAATAAGTCAGCAACCACCAGGATCCTACCTCTGGTCTAATAGTCTGCCATTCTAAGTCCCATTTCTCCCCTTTGCACTTCTGCCCCCACCCCTAGCTGGAGGGAAAGGGAGAGACTGAAGGGAAGGGAAAACAGAAGCTTGTCGATCAGAGGCCTTATGAAAAGGCCTGGGTGATAGGGATGGTCACGTGACAACCTTTGTCAGGTATGTAGTTTTGAATGTATAACCTGCTCTCTGGCATCTCATCCCAGTGTTGGGGAGAGGGTGGAGTAATTAGTCTGTTTCACAGAGAAGGCAGCACACCGGAACCTGCTTTGCCCCAAGACAGTGAGGTGAATGGAGGGGGCTACTGTAGGGAACCCTACACTGTCTGCTAGGGTTGTTACTAAATGTTAGGCTTCTTACACAAAGTGCTGGGTTCTTACAAAGAGAGCTAAGTGGGAGTCTCTAGCTGGGGAGTGAGGAAGCATGGCCTCAGCCAGGCTTGGGAGGAAGGCTGGACTTCAGCTTCCTGGCCACGAGCCATAGGCAGGGACCTGCACCTGGAAGGAAAGCTGCATGGCTGCCAATATTCTACAGCAAATTGACCTTCAAAGACAAGGAAGCACTCAGCACAAAATCCCACATTAGTCCATCTTAAGGACAGCAGCTGGTTTCAGTTTAATGCTGTATTAGTTAGCTTTGCTAGAGTAACAACCACCACATAACCCCTGATGATTACAGCAACAAACATTCATTTCTCATTTGTGTTACAATCAGTGGCTGCAGGCCAGCTGCTGCAGCTCTGCTCCACATGTCTTACCCTTCTGGCACCCAGGCTGAAGGAAGAGCCACAATCTGGGAAAGTTTCTCATAGCAGAGGGAAAAGAGCATGAACCTAACATGCAATGGCTCTTCAGGAAGGCACACAACTCCCAGAGGGATGTGGTGGGCACTGCAGGAAGTCACATGGCTATAGGTAAGAATATATAAAACCCTCTAGGAAAAAGGAAGCAAATAGCTGCAGACAAAAATACAATCTATGACAATAAGTCAATGTGCAAAAAGACTCCAGTTTAAAAGGCACAAAATCCTGAAATGTGAAAACTGGGGAGGAATGCAGAATCCACACTGTCCAAGTGTGTCACAATCCTCCATATTGCAAAGATCAGAAAAATTAGCAAATTTTTTAGGGGTTCAAGGGGATCCGAGATTTCAGGTCTCTATAAATGGAGAAATAGGACCCTGCTTTCCTGGCCCCATCACACACCAAGGCATCTACAGCACCTCACAGAGCAACCCTCTGTGCTCATGAAATAACTAGAGGCTGGAGTCGCTCAGCTTTAATGCCTTCAAATTACATGCATGGTTTGTATATGTGCAGTTGGAGGGGTAGCTTCTCTGAGGCCTCCAACTCCAAAAAGCTTCAGAACCAGGTCACTAGATCCTGAGTCAGTCCAGTGAGTTCCTTGGGTCAGTTGCTATGGTTAACTGCAACAGATGGTCCATTTAGAGATGGAGGCTGGTGGTTAACATGGATCACAGTGAGTCCAAGGATGTCCTGACCAAGGCGTAGAGTTTTCTATCAACAGAGGATGAAGACCGGTTGGGGCTCAGCACTCTGACCAGAGAGGCTGCAATTCAGGGAAGTCAGCAGCTCCTCTCCCACCATAATGTGAGGAAGGACTGTCCCCAGGGTGACAGATAGTGTGTCCAACTAGACAGTCTAGAAGTATGTCCAACAGACTGAAGTATACTGGATTCCAGACAGGAGAATGAGGGAGGAGATCCAGCAAGCCTGGCTCCCAGAGCCTGGCTCAGTCACTTCACCTGGTGCACCTTTCTCCCCTGGAGATAATTTCTGCAAAAAGGAGAGGATCCTACACAGACCAAAAATGTTGGTGTCAGGGCTTTTACAAAGTACCTGCAGTGAACACAACAAAAGAGAGGGGTCAATTGAATTGCAATCTTAATCATTCACGGACCTTCCCAACAACAAAGTGAACCTTTGGATGTGAGTCAACATTAAAATGCAAGTTTAGCACATTTTGTTTGGTTGTTTATAAATCTGGCAAATTAGCATAGCCTGCCTTTCTCCCCACCCCCACCCCTTTACAACCTAGCCCGAACCTTTGGGCCAGTCCTCTAGCATCACTGTGACAAGAACACTACAGGAACATGCTTTCATTCATTCACTCAACAGTGAATGCCCAGGGTGCACCAAGCCCTGTGCTAAAAACAAACAAAAACCATTGTCCCTGCTCTCAAGCCCAGGGGAGAGGGAGATAATCAATTCATGACAGCAAGGCACAATTGTAGAAGCATTTGTAAAGTACAGTGTTAGCACAATGAGCATGATTTCTTCTGTGAGAAGAGAAATAAGGAAAGGCTCCTAGAAGGTGCTATGTCTGAGCTTGACTTTATTTGGAAAGGGGTGATGGGAAGCAGAGCCAGAAGGTACAGGTCACCAGAGCTTTCACTATTGTTGGGCATAAAGCAAACAGTGAGGCAGGTTGGAGAGATGGGCAAGGCTTATTACCTTATATACCTACATCTGGACAGAGGGGCCTATATTCTGGCTCCACCCAGTCCAGGGTCTGAAGTTGCTGGAAACCTGTCATGGGTAGCCTCTTGCCTATACCAGTCATTTAAAAGTTAATCACTTCCAACAGTATTTACATTTTCTGAGAAGCATGAAATTGTTCTTCACAAATCAGTCTGCTTTCTGTTTAGATTTCTCCCCCTTTTTTTAGGGGGGAGGGCATAAATGAGGGAGAGTAGACCTTGGGCCTTTAAAGAATCTAGGTAATTTGTTAACTACTGAGAAAATGAACAGCTAAAAATTTGTCTATAAAATAGATCTGGGGCCAGAAAAAACACTGCCAAGAGAAATCATCGATCATAACTGAAGAAATCTTCACCTCCTGCTTGCCAACCCAAAGCAGAAGCCTCAAGACCAGCTGGACACCCCTACCAAGTCAGTCACCACATCACCAATTCCCAATCTGCCTCCTAAATCTCTCTCCAACCCATCCCCTACTTTAGGCTTCACCGATCGAATAGTACACTTAAAATCTATACATCATTATGTATAGACAAGCACCTTCTGTGGCTCCAAACACCATCGTCAGGATGAAGGTCACAATTTTCAGGCAGGGCATCAAGGCCTTCCCACATGGCCTCAACCCAGCTGTCTAGCCTCATCTCCCACCACGCCCAACCACCTTCATTCCCCTAACACATGAGACTCTGAGCCTAAATGCAAGAACACTTGCTTTGCTCAAAGCTTAGGGAAAAGTAGTCCATGAGTCAATTTATACATCTACTAAGGGCATTCTTTTATAGTCCAGGAACACCCCAAAAGAGAAGAAATGGACAACTACCAAATCCAACTGGCTGCCACTGCTACTAACCAATGTGCCCCCTTACAGCACAACTGCCCATTACAGTTTACAAAAGCACTTTGACTCCTCTCTCATCAGCTCTCAAATTCCTTGAGAAATATGTAGGTAAGAGTTATTACCATTCAAGAGGAAACCAACCCAGAGAGGCAGTGTGTGCTCAGGGTCAAAGAGCCAGTATATGACACTGTCTGACTTTAAGAGTCAATGTTCTTTCCATATAACAGCATCAGGGACAAGGCACAATTGAGAACAGAGGGCCATCCAAGTTGTCTTCAGGAAAGCTTTTCCCTCCTCAGAAAAGTGCCATTCTCCCAGTCTGAAGGTGTCAAGGCTGAGTGCAATGGGCTGAGTCATCACACTGCCACCTGCTTGGCCAATGGCCAGGCCAGTCTCCATGGTTGGTGTCTCATGGTTTTGTGTCCAGGGCAGAAGGGAGAGAGTACAAGGCAATCAACAGTGGAATGAGAATGTGGCTGTATCCCTGAGATAGTACATAAGCATCTTCCCTGGTCTACTCAGCCCCATGAAGTGACTCACCTAGGGTGCTGCAGCACCTGCAGCAGGGTGCTCTTGGGAGGCACCCGGTACAGTTCTGCCCTGTCCTCATCTTCAAAGTAGACCTGTAAGATTAACAAAGGAGCAGGAGTCAGATACACACAAAGGGATATAGCAGCACCCGGCATGTCGAGACCAAGTCTAAGGAAAAGTTAAAGAGATGGTGACTATTACTCACTGAATGGCTCCTTTATAGGCTGTGGAGTATAAAGCACTCAGTTCTCCCCTGTGACACTAGAAAAGGTACTATCAGCTCCATTTTCCGAAAGATAAAACCAATACTCAGAGAAGGGAAATAACTCACCAAAAAAATCCAGCCAGTAAACAAAGGAGCCAAGACACAGCCCAGACCTATAAGCCTTCCCATCCCCAACAATTCAGTCACAGAGCCATAGGCATGGGGGAAGAAAGTCCCCCATGGTGGCCCAGAGCAGGAGAAGGATGTCCACACGGAGGATAACCTTGTGCTGATGTCAAAGCCCAAGCAGGGTGAGGAAGCATCTGCAGAGGAGGGCTGCAGGGGTGATGGGCTCAAAGCCCAGCCCCTAGAGGAGGGGATCCTTGCTGGGGGCCGGCCAGCCTAAGCATGGTGAGAAGGGCTTCCTGGTAGATGGCTGTCCAGGGTGGGGTATCAAGAGCCCACATGGGGTGAGGAGGGTGTCTATGCATGAGAACAGCTGATATGGGGGCCTAACCAGGGTGAAGAAGGCAGCCACTCATGGCAGGGGGCATCCTGCTATGGGGAGTGGGAACCAAGCAAGACGAAGAGGATGTTCATGCAGTGTGGGGCGTCAAGAGAGTGCACAGGATGAGGGCACCCATACTGGGGCGGCAGCCGGATGTGGGGAATCAAGAGTCCAAACAGAGTGAGGAAGGTTTCACATGAGAGAGGGGACAGTGGTGGTGACAGGAGTGGGATTAAATATAGAGATTGATCAAATTAATAAATATATTAATAATAGAAGCCAGTGCTACAAATACAGAAAGGAAGAGATCCTGTGGTGTTGGATCAACTGAAGATACCAGTGAGACCTCATGTCCTCTCCCTCCCCCTGGCCCCCATACACGGCATTGGAGCAGTGCAATGCGCCCCCCCCACACCCCGCCCACTCCCATACTTATGAGTATACCTATTGCACAGATCTTGGCTTCTAAATACCATTTTTTCACTAAAAAGAACCAGGGCTCCTTGGGGAAAATGGCTGACTCCAGAGCTAGGACAAGAAAAGCACAATTTCGGCCTAGAACACCTTGTGCTAGAAAGCAAGGAAGTGCTTAAAAAATGGAAACATGACAAAAAATGGAAACAGTGGCCAAATGTGAGACAATTCGAGTATAACATAATCATAGTAACAGATTATAACTCAATGAATAGAAAACCACAAACCCACTGATACAAATAAATGATTACGATACAAATAAATGATTACGATACAAATAAATGATTACATCTAAGGTGTGATAAACAATGGGATATTTATTTTAAAGTACCTCCCTAAAAAATACTAATTACAAAGTGAAAAATAGTAGCTTTACAAGAGAGAAGCCTGTCAGATCCCCCCCCACCTCAATCAGATGATCAAAGTGATGTCATCAGTAATGGCAAACTGAAATCACGTGCACCTGACAGGATGCAACAAAACACAGCATCACTTATGTGATATTCCAGTCAAATATGCATAATCCAGATCTAGTCACGAAAACAGACAAACCTACACTGATGGACTTTCCACAAAATACCTGGTCTTCAAAAGTGTTAAGATCTAGAAAACTGAGGAAAGACTTGAGAAATTCTTCCACAGCCTGAAGGAGACTAAAGGGACATGACCACTAAATACAATACAATGTGGGATACTGAACAGATCTGTTTGCTATAAAGAACATTACTGGGACAATCTGTAAAAACTGAACAGAGTCTGAAGATTAGGTGGCACTAATGTACCCAAGTTAATTTCTTAATATTGATGGTTGATTCCCATTGTGGGAAGTAGACACTAAAGTATTCAGGAGTGATGGGGCATCAGCTGGCATCTTATTCTGAAATGATTAGAAGACAAATTATTTGTACTATAAATTGTGATTTTTTTTTTAAATCCCAAAAATGGAATATTATTCTGCCTTGAAAAGGAAATTCTGATACATGCTACAAAATGGATGAACCTTGAAGACATTATGCTAAGTGAAATAAGCCAGACACAAAAGGACAAATATTTTATGACACCACTCATATGAGGTAACTAAAATAGTCAAGTTAATAAAAACAGAAAGTAGAATGGTGGTTTCCACGGGATAGGGGAGGGAGAAATAGGGAGTTACTGTTTCATGGGTAGTTTCAGATTGGAATGATGCAAACGTAGATAGTGGTGACAGTTGCATAAGATTGTGAATGTACTTAATGCTACTAACTATGCACTTAAAAATAGCTAAAATGGTAAATTTTATGTTCTGTATATTTTACAATTTTTTTAAAAGGGCAGTGAAACTTCTCCCTAACCCTCAAAAAACCCCACAGAAGAACAAAATAAAATTTCACTTACCTCTAAATTATCAGGGCAGTATTTTTGCTCTAAGTCCCAAGAGGGCATTTCACCAAACATTACCATTAGATGATCAATAAACCTAAGGATATAACACATACTTTCTGGGTATCAATAACTCATGATCTTTCCCACATTATTGTCCCCAGACACCAAATCAGACATATCAAGAATGTACAAAACATGAAATGTAGGCAGCCATTTTGACTACAGTATCCAAAATGTGTACGTGTATCACTTGTTCTGTTATGACATAGTAATTGTCTTTAACTCAGGCTTTACAAAATCCCTTACATTTAGCTGCATTCTAAACATTAACCCTATGAAATCACACTTTAAAACTGCTAGTTTTATTTTTTCTAATAAATATACACTTGCATTACTATGCATGTACTCTTACAACGATTTTATATCTCACCAGAAGGTACCAGTACTTGACAGTCAATACAATGGTGAGACTGTGTTTGTCACTCAAAAGCCAATTAGTAAAGTGAGAAATCAGGTATAGGATAGAGATTATGCCAAACCAGATTGAAACCTTCTATACTATTCTCTTCCCTCAACCCAAAATCCACCTGTTCCTCCTACAGAGAAAGCAGGAAAAGATCATGCAAGCAAGAGCAGAGGACTCTTGGGCAAGTAAGTACCTGGAGTCTTCATGAAAAGTGGAGATGAAGTCCGACTGGGCATACTCTGGATATAGTAAGAGCACAGGCCAGCTCAATCTGCCCTGGTCATCTACACTCAGCCTAGCTCCATAGGGGTTCTCTGAGCTGAGCCCATCCAGAAAAAGTTCACCTAGATCTTCTGAGGCTGAATCTTCATCCTCACTGGCAGCTTCAGAAACTAGCCTGATGTTCCTATCCTGGGGTAAAGACACAAACCTTATTGTATGGAAGGATGCAAATCCATACCACTAAAACAGGGAAACTACAATACTGCAAGCTCCCTGAGGGCCAGCTCTACACAGGATTCACCTTCATTATCCCTGAGGCCTGGCACATAGTAGGCATCATTTGTTTAACTTACCTTTCTCGGGCATCAACCTCATGTTGGACTCTGTCACAGAGATGAGTTAGACACGATTCCTGCACTCAAGACCCTGCTCATGGTTTAGTGGGGAGATAGCTATAGAAATAAGTATAATATACAGTAAGAAGTAGAGCTGTGGAACTGCAGATCATGAAGAATTAATTCAGTCTGGGGACTGGAGATGACTGGGGAATGCTGGGCCTTGAACAAAGACTCTGAAAGGCAGAGAAGTTGGGGATGCGGGAAGGTGGAAGGATGTTCCACTCCAAGGAACAGGATGTGCAAAGGCACAGAAAAGGGCAAGAGTATGGCATGTACAAAAATGGTAAATGCTTTCACATCTCACCAGATAGTTTAGCTGGGACATGGAATACCAAAAATAACGCACATTGACTTAATCTTAACTATCTCATGGAAATAAGGATAAATCAAAAGTCTAAATAGTAGCGTCACCTCTTATGTATTTGTGTGGAGGTTCCTAAGGCTAGCACCCAAGAAAAAAATTACATGCAATCAAAATTACCTTTAATGCTATCTCCTAAGTCAGGGATTGGCAAACTTTCCCTTAAAGGGTCAGATAAGAAATATTTTAGGCTCTGTGGGTCAAATGGTCTCTGCAGATGTAAACTATTCAACTCTGCCACTGTAGTGTGAAAACAGCCATAGGTAACACAAACAAGCAAGCAGGGCTTCAGTTTGCTGACCCCTGCTTTAAACCATTGATATCATGTAGTATGTATGGCTTTGTGTATACTATTGTTGAGTGTAATTCTTCTGTACAGTGAAGTCTGAGATGCAGAGTTGGACTAAAGGAAGAACCCAAAAAAAAGGTCTGTGGGCAAATGTCTGTACATTCCAATATTCTACATTTTAGAAAATGACCAAATTCCTCACTGTAAATGAGGATTAGGTAGAGAATCTGGAGTATTACATTCTGTTTAATCTACTAATATATGTTAATAGATTACTTGAAGTGGGGAGGGATAAGTAGAGTGTATCTTGGTAGTCTGAAGTTCTCAAAGTCAAGTCACTTAAATGGGTACATAATTTAACTAACCAAAGAATGAAACCAAGAACCTACCCCATACTCCCATAGCAGGTGTTATTCCCTCTTATAAGACCAAGGCTCATCAGGTGACTTGCTGGATATCCAGGTAAAAACAGGGTTTAGATCAGACTACGTTCATTTAAAATGCAGGAAAAAGAGGGTAAGGGAGGTAGAATTTGTTGTTGTTATTGTTAGTTAGAGGAGCAACATCCTAAAAATTCACACTTTCTCAATGCAGTATAACACAGTGGCTAAGAGCAAGACCTGGCTCTGACATACATCAGCTGTATGAGGTTTCTTCACCTCTCTAAGACTGTCATCATCTACCAAAACAGAAACAAGAAGACCTACTTCAGAAAACTACTGTGATTAATAATGCTTAACCCATAGCAACTATTTAGTATAGGTTACCTGAGCCCAACACATGTACACAAGTGGGAGAGCTGACTGAACTCAGAGGGTGCTGACTTCAGGGCCCCTTCATCACATTGCTTCACCAGAGCAAAGAGAAAATGAAGAAATTCATTCAGGTAAAGCACCCCAAAAAATGTTCCCAAGAGGCTTCAAGATTAATGGAGTTAGCAAGAACATAAGGGCCTGAGGTTTGAGAACTCACCTTGATGGCCTGGAGTAAAGCCTTATTCTGATTCTGCTCCTTCTTTTCTTTCAACTTTGCTTTCCTTATATCCCTCTGTTCAGTTCGCTAAAAATGAAATTCAGATGCATCAGCTCTAGGGAACTTGCTTCCTCTTGTTACCCCAGCCTGCTCCGAATTACTATCTCTGGTCTCTATCCAACCCAGACTCCTGTGACAAAGGATACCAATGGCCAGATTCAGTTCAATAAGCATTTAAAAAGCACGTGTCTGGGTGCTAGAACCAGTGGCAGCAGAAATTTAAAAATCTACAGTTGCTGTACCCAAGTAGATTACAATCTACTGAGGGGAACAGCTAAGTAAACAGTCTGTTATGCGTTACCATGGCAGTGTGAACCAAGTTCTATGAAACACACAGGAAGGACTGACTGCCCCTTTGAGAAGGTGAGTTTAGATAGACAAGGAAGATTGTACCAGATGAAGGAGAAAGGGCATTCTCGGTAATAGGGACTAACATTGGAGCTTATGGGGCATTTCAGCTTCTCTGGTGTGGCTGGAGTATAGGAAAACACATTGGAAAAACCCAGGGTAAGAACTTATCAGAGGCTCTGGCTTTTGCACAATTATAATCCATGAGAGAAAAGTACTACCAGTCTACTTAATCTGGCAGAAATATAATTTTGATTTCCTTTACCTGCTAATCTACCCCAAACTAGTTGATCCTTCTTTTATCCCCAAGATTGTAGATTAATAGGGATCAGCAAACTCCTCCTTACAGGGCCAGAGAGTAAATATTTTAGACTTTGTAGACCATGTATTGTCTCTGTCATATATTATCAGGTTTTGTTTGCTGTTTATAACCCTTTAAAAATGCAAAAAATATTCTTAGTTCACAGAATGTGCAATAACAGGCTACAGACTGGATTTGGCCTGTGGGTCAATTTGCTGACCCCTGCTCTAAAATATAACACTAACCATCCCTTATCTTCCACACAATACCCCACAAAGGTTAACATGGGTCTTTTTTTTTCTTGTGAACAAAATCTACCCTTTCAGGGAGACAATGGCTGATAATTCTTGGTCATTCCTTCCCCAATTCAGTATGCCAAGAGAGCTGCAAAAATCTTTTCTGCTATTAGTATGATTATACTATCAAGAGCGCCTGCCCCATGGATACCACTAAAACTATGTCCAATTCTGCCTTCCCAGTGGAACTACACCTGACCAACCACACGGTGTATGATCCACATTAGAAAATGATTAAGATGGATGATTAAGGATGACTCGGCCTCTGTCCCATGTTGTTTTTACTTTATTTACAGGATGCAAGTGGGTGGATATGGCTTCCTGCTCTCTCAGCTGAAGTTTGGGGTCTCAGCAGCCCACATAAAGTAGAATAACCACTAGGTCAGAGGAGGCCCCCTCCCCGCACTTTAAATCAACTGTATCGAGGAATAATTTATAGATTTTAAGTGTACAGTTGATAAGTTATGGTAAATGTATACCCTGAGTACTCAACACTCCAATCAAGACAGAAAACATTTCTATCCCCAGAAGGTTCCTTCATACCCCTTTGCAGTCAGTCCCCACCCCATCCCACCACTGACAGGTTTGTTTCTTTTTACTGCCAAGTAATATTAATGGTATGAATATACTACACTTTGCTTATCTATTTTCTTGTTATTAGACACAACTATTTCTGGGTTACTATGACTAAAACAGGCTATAAGCATTCTTATACAAGTCTTTTTATAAACATGTTTTAATTTCTCTTAGGTAAATATCTAGGAGTGAAATTGCTGGGTCGTAGGAGAGGTGTATGAAACTGTCAAACTGATTTCCAACATGGTCATACCATTTTATATCCCACGGGCAGTATGTGAGAGTTCCAGTTGGTCCACATCTTTGCCAATATTTGGTATTGGCAGGCAGTCTTGTACACTGGGATCCCACTGAGGTTTAATTTGCATTTCCCTGACGACTAATGATACTGTGCATATTTTCACGTGCTTATTGTAAATCTTTTGAGAAGTATCTGTTTCTTTTGCCACATTTAAAAATTTTCCATATTGACTTCTTTATGTATTCTGGATACAAATCCTTTATCAGACATTTGTATTACAAATATTTTCTCCCATTCTATGGCTTGCCTTTGAATCTTAGTGATATCTCTTTTTTTTAAGTTTCGACTAAGTCCTATTTATCAATAATTTTGTCTTTTTTGGTTAGTATATGTATTTTTTAATTTTTAATTGAGGTGAAATTCACGACATAAAATTAACCATTTTAAAGTATATGATTCGGTGGCATATAGTACACTCACTATTTTGTGCAATCAACACCTCTATGTAGTTCCAAGACTTTTCAATATCCTAAAAGAAAACTGCAAGCCCATTTAGCAGTCAGTCCCCCCAACTCCTGGACACCATCTGCTGTCTTTACAGATTTACCTATTTTGGATGTTTCATATATATATGAAATCATAGAATATGTGATCTTTCATATCTGGCTTCTTTCACAGCATAGTATTTTGAGGTTCATCGAATTTGTAGCATGTATCACGACTTCATTCCTTTATTTATCATCAGGAGATGGACATTTAGATTGCTTTCACTTTTTAGCCATTATGAATAGTGTTGCTATGAACATTCATGTATAAGTATTTGTTTGAATACCTGTTCACAGTTCTTTTGGGTACATACCTAGGAGTGGAAATGCTATGCTATATGGTAATTCTATGGTTAACTTTTTGATGAACTGTCATATTGTTTTCCATAGTGGTTACACCATTTTACATTCCCACCGGCAATATGTAAGGGTATCGGTTTCTCCACATTTTCATCAGTTTATTATTTACCTACTGTAAAAAAATTACAGCTATGCTAGTGAATTAGTATCTGATTGTGTTTTTGATTTATATTTCCCTAATGACTAATGATATTATCTTTCTTTTGCTTGTTGGCCATTTGCGTATCATCTTTAAAGAAATGTCTATCCATTTCCTTTGCTCATTTAAAAAACTTCTGATTACTGAGATGTTAAGAGTGTTTTACATATTCTAGATAAAAGTCCCTTAGCGGATATATGATTTACAAATATTTTCTCCCATTCTGTGGTTGCCTTTTTACTTTCTCAATGGGTCCTCTGAAGCATAAAGTTTTTACTTTTAATAAAGTATATCTATTTTTTTCTTTAGCTGCTTAAGCTTTTTGTGTCACATCTAAGAAACCAATGCCTAATCTAAGGTCATGAAGATTTATGCCAATGTTTTCTTCTAAGAGTTTTAGTCCCAGCATCATTTGTTGAAAAGACTATTTCTCCCCTCACTGAATGGTTTGGGTACTCCTGTTGAAAATCAACTGTCTATAAATGTGAGGGTTTATTTCTGAATTCTCAATTCTATTACAGTATATGTCTATCCTTATGCCAGTACCACAATGTCTTGATTACTATAGCTTTTCTGGTATGATTTGAAATTGGGAAGTGTGAGTCCTGTAACATTTGTTTTTCAGGATTGTTATGGCTATTATGAGTCCCTTGAATTTCCATAGGACTATCAGAATCAGCTTCTCAATATTCTGCAAAGAAGCCAGCTGGAATTTTGATGCATAGTGCATTGAAATCTGTACACCAATTTGGGGAGAATTGTCATCTTAATAATATCAAGATCTTCTCCATGAACATGGAAGGAATGTCTTCCCACTTATTTAGGTTTAATTTCTTTTAACCATGTTTTGTATCTTCAAAGTATATGTTTTATGCTACTTTTGTTAAACTTATTCCTAAGTATTTTATTTCTCCTTGATGCTATTATAAATGAAATTGTTTTATTTTTACATTTGGAACGTTCGTTAAAAATATACGGAATACAGTTGATTTTTGTATACTGACATATCCTTCCAGCTTGCTGAACTATTAGTTCAAATAGTTCTTTTAGTGGATTCCTTAGGATTTTCTATATACAAGATCATATCACTTGCAAATAGTTTTAATTCTTCCTCTCCTTCATTTTTAACGGGTAAGTTTCCTGGATATAGAATTCTTGGTTGATAGTCTTATTTTGGCACTTAGAATGTCATCCCATTGCGTTTTGGCTTCCATGGTTTCTGCTATCAGTTTTTAATTTTATTGAGGGTCTCCTATGTGAACTGTCACTTCTCTCTTGATGCTTCTAAGATTCTCTTCTTTGACTTTCAACAGTTTGATTACGATGTATCCGGGTGCAGATTTCTTTAAGTATATCCCACTTGGAGTTTATTAAGCTTCTTGGAAGGATAGATTACTGTTTGTCATCAAATCTGGGAAGTTTTCAACTGTTATTTCTTCAAATATTTTTTTTGTCCCTTTCTCTCCTCTCCTGAAACTCCTATTATGTCTATGATGCACTTAATGGCATCCCACAGGTGTCTTGGTCTCTCTTCGTCTTTATTCCTTTTTCTTTCTGTTCTTCAGGCTGGGTAATCAAACTGACCTATCTTTGAAGTTCTGCCCCTTAGTGAATTTTTCATTTCAGTTATTGTACTTATCAACTACAGTATTTGTATTTGGTTCTTTTTTATAATTTTTCCTTACTGATAGTCTCTCTTTGATCAGACATCATTCTGGTATTATTGTAGTTCTTTAGACATTGTTTCCTTTCGTTCTTAGAACATACTTAACATACCTGGTTTAAACTCCTTGTCTTTTAAGTCCCATGTCTGGGCTTCCTCCAAGACAGTTTATATTGATTTCTTTCCTGTGTATGACCATACTTTTCCTTTCTTTGCATGTCTTGTAATTTTTTGTTGTAAACTGGACATTTCAAATATAATGTGGCAACCCTGGAAATCAGATTCTGTCTCCTCCCCAGTGTTTGTTGTTGCTGTTATTTTTTGTTTGCTTAGTGACTTTTCTGAACTAATTCTGTAAAGCCTGTATTCTCTATGTGACCACTAAAGTTTCTAACCATTTAGCTTAATTGTTAGCTAATGACTGGACAGATTCCCCTAAATGCCTTAAGCCAACAAAGTCGGTCTTTGCTGAAAAGCTCTATGTACATGTTGGTGCACACTTTCAACTCTCACCCAAGCAGTTTACAATTCAGCTTTAACCTTCACTTCCTGCTTGCACAGAGCCTACACATCAGCCAGAAGTGAGAGCTTAAGGTCTGCTTAGGTCTTTCCTGAGCACGTGCATAGCCCTGGGCACATAATGTGACCTGCATTCCCAGGAATATGTTGGAGCTTTACAAAGCCCTTATAGAATCTCATTCCCCAGCTTTTCCTTTTAAGTTTTCTGGTAAGCCTACTGTTTGCCTCAACTGTTAGCCACTGCCTCAGGCAGCTGCAACCTTAAATAACTGCCTCTAATTTTGACAAATGCCCCCCACTACCACCCCTACACCCAGCCAAACTATGGCAGTCTTATACCATTTCTTAGTTATTCAAATCAAAATAACCACAAATTTATCTAGTACTATATGTCTCAGAAATTCACTAAGTACATACACACACTCACACACACACACACACACACACTCTCTCTCTCTCTCTCTCTCTCACTCCCCCCACTCCCTCTCATTTAATCTTCATAAAAACCTTTGAGGTATATATTATATTCATTATTTTCAAAGAGGGGTCTGAGTTTCAGAAAGATCAGGAACTTATCCAAGGCTATACAGTTCTGCTTTATCCTATCTAGAATGTTCCCCTCACCCCTACCCCCAACTGAGTAAACTCTTGCTCAGTCTTCAAGAGATTAGACTCAGGCATCACCTCTTTCAGCAAAGCTTCTCTGCTACCCCCATTTCTGCCCTGCTCTTGGCCAAGGCAAAGTCAGAGACCACTCCTACTTTGTATTCTTGCTTGCCTCTATCACACTATTGTTTATTTCTCTGTGTCCTCCAGCATTCTAAGGATAAAGACTGGTTTGGAGTGTGTTTTTAAAGAAGTTTACAACTAAAAACACACAATCTTGAGAATGCTAATTAATTCATTAATACTAATTAACAAATGTCAAATAGCTACTGATTCTGCCACCAACCTTCAGTTTGTCTGCTTTAGCCCTCATTTCCTGAAGTTTCTTTTCTTTCGCATCTATCTGCAGCCCCTCATCACACCAGTTCAGAGCCTCGGCAAAGTTTTTCAGTTCCAGATGGCATAAGGCACCTGCAGAACCCAGAACCATTAGGATCCTTAGACAACATGCATGGAAAGAGTCACCCTTAAACAGGAACACCCACCTCCACCAGCTACCACCCAGTACCCTAAAGGGAAAAGCTTTTTGGCTTAGTGGCAAAAAGCATAGTCTTTGAAATCAGACAGATCGGGGCTGGAAATCTGGCTCTGTCATTTACCAGGCATTAAAGGCATCAGAGAAAGAACTGAGCATCTCTGAGCTTCGGGTTCCTCGTCTGCAGATAAGAATAAAGCCCATCTCAGAGGATTTTTCTAAATGGAATCAGCAAGCAGAATGTGCTTCAGCCATTCATCAAAGCAGTGGCAAGACCAAAGACATTAGGTCTCTCTTAAAATTACTCTTGATGGCTACCAGTATAAGCTGCCTCTCCTTTAATCATGTTCAATTTTCTCCAGTTAGCCTCTTTAGGCTTTCCACAGAATTTCAAAATATCAGAACTGTAAGGGTTTAGATGTCAACAGAATCCAACCTCATCTTCCAGAGATGAGCAAACTGATAGAGTGGATGTCTTGCCAAGGTCACATGGTAAAGTAAAACTGACAATTCGGCCGAGGATTAGACTTCCAGCCAGAGTCCAATTCCACAGGACTACATTCAATTTATTTGCCAATCTTTGCTCAGTACCTTCTTTCCCCACAGCTAAGCGACATGGATCTACTTACTACACCCAATCATAAATATCTAAAGAAGCAGAACTTTGATAAAGCATTTTTAAGTTGGTCCATGGAAATATAGGGAAGATTAATATGTGAGGAATAAATTAAAGTTTGCAAAGCACCTTTAAGCTCCTCAAAAAAAAAAAGATGAAGTATAAAAGTAATAAAAGCACTATTATTATATAGAAAGGTCAGACTACAAGTGAAAAAACAATCTAGAAACATCTCAGCATCAGAGTTATCAACAAAGGTCCCATAACTTATCTTTTAATTAACATGAAGATGGCATTTGAAGATCTCACCTTTCAATCAGCTAATTTGGAAAAAATTAGAATGTGGCTTTTGGAACTGCTTTATTTTAATTAATTTTATTCTTTACTAATTTGAAATGAGAAATTTCAATTTATCTACAAATTGTTAACACACAAAAGGTTATATGATTCTCTGGGGAATTCTTTTAAAAATGGCATGTTGCTGTGGATAAGGACCAGGAGCCTAAAATGTCTCAACTTTTGGTGCAGTACATGCCAACTTTTCCTTCATGATAATCATACTTTAGTTCTATAAGACTTACCTCTTATTATTGCTTTGAGGTGGCAGGGTTTTAGCTTTCTAGCAGCTGTCACATCATTGAGAGCAGAACGAAAATTGCCTAATAAAACACCAGTTAGTAAAAGAAAGAACTAGTTTTGAGATCAGAATATTTCCAAAATTTTGTGGGTAGGCACAAAGACACTGTACAATCCTGGATAAATATAAATCAGAGCAACTGTTTTTAGAAAAGAAATATAATTGTGGTCATCAAGAACCTTAGAACTGTTTGTAACACCAAGCAACCAACCCACAGAACTACAGACCGTAAGCACATGAAAAGATGTTTAATGTCAAGAATGATTAATTAAAATTAACATGAAATTGGTAAAAATTAAAGAGAATATCCAATATTAAAGATATGGGAAAAGGGCACTCTAAGGGTAAATTAGCAAATCAGAATGCACTTTGAGATACTTTGACCCAACAATATTCTAAGAACTTACCCTACCTTTCATAGTTGCTAAGAGGTCAAAAGGGATAACAAATATGAAAGTGAGCTCTACCAGTGACATATTAGTTAAGGAATGGCTCTCATTAAGCATCTGCCCCTCTGGTGTCACACACACACTTTTTTTTTCTTACAAGGTGCTTTTGGTCTTACTAACCCTGTAAGTGACACCCTTTAAGTTCTCCAAGAAAAAGAACTATGTAGCTCTTGTTCACAATGCAGTGCTTAGCACATAGTAAAAGGTTGGGTCTTACTCATCTCTAGGATGCCAGTGCCTACAACAGAATAAGAACTCAGTTTGTCATCTGAATGAAGATGTATTCCTCCAGAAGTCAGAAAACTGAGTTTCTAATCCAGGTTCTGGTACTAACCAAAGGGCCTCTCTCTGGGCTTATACAAAATGAGGGGGTTGGTTGGCCCAAATAACCTCTAACCTCTAAAGTTCTACACCACTCTTACTTTTTAGAATTTTATAATAAAACAGGCTAAATGAGAACAGTAGGAGCAGACTATGGTTGGGTAGAAACTACCCAAATGATACTAAATCCCAACAGACTTATCCCAGCTAGACTGCAAGGCTTATTCTCTCCCAGGCCCGAAGAAATGCCTGGAGTCATTTCCAGGTACTCTCTAAACTGTGATAAAAAACACAGATCTAATATGGCCAAAAATAGTCACCAGCAGTAATGCCACCCAAATAATCAGTGTTTCCCAAAGTGACATCTGCTGAACAGTACTGCATGTTAATAAATGTTAACTGAAAAGGGGGCTTACAGAACTTGAGAATCACAGGGTAAGGTTCTTTGCTATAGGTTTTCTCACAGTCCTTAACATACTAATGTGTGCTGCAAATCCCCAACAAAGAAGCAACACTCTCCAAACTTACTTGTCCAAAGAATATTTTTTCTTTCAAGGGCCCCACAGAATATTGAGAAATTCTCCCTTATATTAATATAGTTCTCACACAAAGACCTCTATTGCCTTAATCCTTCTAGTATACTTGAGAAGAGGGTACAAGGCCAGAAAAAAACTTTTGAGAGAGAATTTGGGCTAAAAAACCCCAGATCATAAACTCCTGTATTAAGGTACTTCACGTCGCTCATTTGGTTCGGATAGTAAAAATTATGCAATCTATGGGAGGAGGAGGGGATGGGAATTTTTTTCAAAAACAATCTGGCTTCCCTTTTCACCAAGTCTACCTGGAAGATCAGAGTTCAATTAAACTATCCTAAGTTTCTGGGAGAAGCAGCTCCTCTTCCTCTGACACTCTCAAACTCTCCACTAGCCATCATAATGGTTTTTATCATAAGTTAACTCTTTAGAAAGCACTAAATAATGGAATTACCCAGATAGTACTGTGCTGCTGCCCGGTTGGTATAAAGAACAGCATTCAAATCAGCATCTCCACATTTCTTCTTTAAGCCTTCACTGTATGAAATCACAGCTTTTTTATAGTCTTTTTCTTTAAAGTAATCATTGCCCTCATCTTTATAGGTCTTGGCCTGTTCTGTAAAGAAGAGAAGAAATAATCACCATTTCCTATTTTTAAAAAGTCTCATTAAAAGTTTCTAAATCATGCAAAAATTAAACATAATAAACCA